GAACAAGTAGGTCCAACAGGTGAGAGAACATCTCAGGTGTATCGTTCTTTACTCTTTACCTCAGAAATGTTCTTCAGTTACAGCATGTGTGGCCCCATGCTGCATTTGTACAAGAATGAAGTTTTCCTCTCCTTATTGATTCTTTCTGATATTTATATGTTCAGATTTTTACTATTATGTCTTCTTATGACCTAGTTTGAGGAGCGCAAATAAAAAAATACCATAGAAGAAATTTTGCATGAAAAATTCACATTTTTGTAGCCAGCGAGAACTATGAACTTGACATTTTTGGCCCTTGTCTTAAAAGTTTGGACACCCCTGTTTAACTTGAGTCTGAGTGTCCTGTGAGGTGAACTCGTGTTAATTTGGCTCAGGCTGATGAGTCAGGTCCAGCTCAGGAGTATTACCAGCAGACAGGTCCTCCAAGTCGCTCCTGATGGTCCTATGGATTCCTGTCCATAGAAAACTGTACAGGTCGACCGTAGCAGCAGCTCATTCTGATGAATATGCAGTTTTTGGCTGTTCTGATCCTTTACCGATGTTCGTTAAGCTCTGCTATCGTCTCATGAAACAACCTGCTCTGCACAATATTTAAGAAAGGGTTATGGGTTTTCCAGATGTACGTGTGATGTATTAACCAGATCTCTGTGGGTTGAAGAGTTGTAGCTCTTACTTAAACATGACAAAGGGAAATCTCTAAATAGTTTGTCAGTCTGACTCAGATATAATCCCATAATCTGTGATGACAGCAATCCCTCACCTTCCCCACAGGTAATCCTTCGAGTCTGAAGACTGAATGCAGCGCGCCTTTAAAGTTCAGAGTTTTTGTCGTGACATTGAGGTGTTGTTATTTATGCTTCAACGAAGGATGTCCGCTATTGTTGCTCTACCATTACTATCAGTAGAGATTGGCATCAAAATGTAATCTCGTAAAAATTAGACAACAAATCGGATGTCGGTAAAAAAGCCCAAACCAAACTTTCCTAGTGTCATTTACTTTAAATCTCAATCCTACTCTTTTGCAGGTACAGCATTGTGTCAGACATCATACCAGAGGAGGAACTCCAGGGAATCTCCAGCTTAGGACTCTACAGCAGCCACAACATTCCCAGATTTCAAGACCAGTGCAACCTTGAAAGAGACAGCGGCAGGAGGAGGCCCGGAGCCTCCGGTGTTGTGGTCAACGCCAAAGAGCAGAGAGGGATGAACAACCGCAACGGGAAGATTCTGACGAGGGGCTCCAACCAAATACGGAGCCGATTTGTGAAGAAAAATGGACAATGCAATGTTGTATTTACTAACATGGAAGACAGGAGGCGGCGCTATCTCGCAGACATCTTCACCACCTGTGTGGACATCCGCTGGAGATATCTGATGCTCATATTCTGCACCAGCTTCCTGATCTCATGGCTGATTTTTGGTTTAGTCTTTTATGCCGTCTCCCTTGCACACGGGGACTTTAAGGACCCACCTGCACAGAAAGGTGATGGGCTGATGGTTGGGGGTCTGTATGGGCCCAACTCTGGGCACACAGTTGGAGGACAGCCGAAAAGGATGCCCTGCATACTTCACATCCAAGGCTTCGTTGGGGCACTCCTGTTCTCTATGGAGACCCAGACCACCATTGGCTACGGCTGGCGCTGTGTCACGGAGGAGTGTCCTGTAGCTGTGATGACGGTGGTCATACAGTCCATTGTAGGCTGCATCATCGACTCTTTTATGATCGGAACCATCATGGCCAAGATGGCTCGCCCTAAAAAGAGAAACCAGACCCTAGTGTTCTCCAGAAATGCAGTCATCTCGCTGCGTGATGGCAAACTGTGCCTCATGTGGAGGGTGGGCAACCTGAGGAGGAGTCACATCGTGGAAGCTCATGTCCGAGCTCAGCTAATACGCTCATACGTCACAGCTGAGGGTGAATTCATCCCCTTGGAACAGATGGACCTCAACGTGGGCTACGATGAGGGCACGGACAGGCTCTTTCTAGTGTCTCCTCTGGTTATAGTTCATGAGATAGATAAGGAAAGCCCTTTGTACACTTTAAGCCGAGCCGATCTGGAAGCTGATGACTTTGAGATTATTGTGATCTTGGAAGGGATGGTGGAAGCCACAGCCATGACCACTCAGTTTCGCAGTTCCTATCTTGCCAGAGAGATCTTCTGGGGTCACAGGTTTGAGCCTGTGATCTACGAGGACCAGGACCGCTACAAGGTAGACTATGCTCGCTTCCACAATACCTACGAGGTACCATCCACGCCTTATCTCAGCGCTAAGGAGCTTGACGAAGCAGCGAGCCGTGCCTCCTCTGGTGCTTCCCCTGTTTCAGTCCGAAGATCCATGCAGAACTTGATCCCACGGTCACTGGCTGCCTTCTGTTATGAGAACGAGGTAGCCTTCAGCTATGGAGAGGAGGAAGAAGACATATTCGAGTCCACTCAGACATCAGCGAAGGACAGGGCAGAAGAGAGGAGGACTTCAGCTGACTTCCAAAACATTTTCCACGACACTCTGACTGTCGCATCTGACAGTCACAACATCATGTGTGTTCTGGACATGGACAACAACCAGATGGAGTTTGACATCTTGCAGACTGCTATTCCTCTCGATCCAGTGGCTTACAAGAGTGAACAAGAGATCTAAAGAGCGTAGGATGGCGCTTTTACTCAGAGAATTGGATGTGTGTTCAACTAAGGGCCGTGACATACTTGCTGTTTGACGACGCAAACGCGTGTTTAAAATGGCTGCCATGCATTAATTGCGTTGATTTGAAGCGTCGTTCACTGCCAATGACAACTAAAGTTGTCATTTGCATGTTTTTACTGTGTGGGCGTTGGACGAGCCCCCGCACCGTGAGAACAAACATCTCAGCTCTAAAGCCGATCTTCATCCGCGTACGTCATACATCATAAGTCATGTGATCAGGAAGCAGAACATCCATGTGTTAGGAGATCGTTTTGGGCCGCTGCTGTAAAAAAAGTGAGACGCGAACCGGAAAAGCTTCTGCCGATCACAATTCAACAACGGATTAATCGCGCAGATTCTTCCTGATGTAAGAGGTGAGTCTCTGCTTTGTTTTGGTTGTTTTGGCGTCAACGTCATCCTAGCGCGCAACGTTCTGTGACTCTTAAAAAAACAGTCAAAACGGTGAGAAACGCTGGCAGCGAAGGGCTTTACCGATCAGGAAACGGCTGGCAGTTAATGAGTTAATGCAACGTGTCCGAACGCTGCAATATACGAGTAACCACTAGGTCGAGTCGCGCGAGACACACTCACCATGGTGACTCCGTCTCTGGGTTAGAGGTCTTTCAGACCATCTTCGATACTGCTGCGGTCTCTTTTTCTGTCGTGAACTCAACACCAGTTATCCAGTTACTGATCTCTTCTATTAACGCCATTTTGTTTTGGTTGTACCCACAAACCTGGCTCTCTGTCCGGTCTGTGTAGTCTAGTGCACCACCTAGTGGAACACTCCAGTACTACGAGCAGCAGCAAGTATGTGAACAGAGACGCAGCCTGCTGCCTGTGCCAACACAAGGTCAAACAGCAAATTTATCACGGCCCTTAAAGCGATTTGATTATTAACTCGCCCGTTTAATCTAGTTTCCTGAATGATCTATGTTCACAGAAATAGTGATCAAGTCTGACAGTCTTGACGAGCTAAAGGCTTGCCCAAATGTAGCTAAGACCAAAATGGATGGTCACCATTTTTAAAACATCTGCAGTCTCTTATAATTTACAACAGTTTGTGTAAATGATGTGTTTTAAACTAGTGGTTCTCAGTCTTTCCAGCTTTGGATCCCAAACAGTAAAACCGACAGACTTTGATACCAAGTTTGCTGTTTGGACTAAAGAAATGTTGTTTTAACCCTTTAACACCCAAGTCTTAAAATGTCCACTAAGCATTTTTATTTTATTGGGTAGATGCTTTGGCTCATTTTCCCAGAATTCTCATTTGGCATATAAACACCATTTTGGAGATGCTGCAAAATCCAGCCCGTTGAAGGAGGCGGGTCCTACCCCAAGAATGAAATATTTGGTGAGTCACTGAATATTCTTCTGTTTGGACAGAGATCCAGTGTGACTGAATCAGGCAGAACAAGGACTGTAAAGCCATTTCCTGTGATCAAATATTAAATTTCAAACCTTGATCCTGTATCCTCGCTCTTTTATTCAAGTAACAGTAGATAGCTTATTAAATTTTGAGCTAGAGCGTTACCGTTGATCGCAGTGATTGTTGGGTTAGAAACTGGACCGGTTTCATATTTGACACCACTCTGCAGCCCTCTGCTGACTAGAAATGGTGCTAGATAGTTTTGTGGAGAGGGTAGGCGTTCTATGGGGGACTTTTTACCTGTTTTCAGCTGTTAGTTGTAATGCTAATGGTTAGTATTTTCAGTTCGGGTTAGGGTCATTAAAAGCACAAGAAGAAGAAACAAAGAAGTTAGCTTTTTCTGTTGGCATCATGGCGGAGCCTGGAATTAAACGTAAGAGAGTAACGTCTCTGGTGGTGAAGCAAAGAGCTAAAACCAGAGTGAACATCATCGCGGCCTACGCTAGTTTGAGGGAGCTAAAAGAGGCTACTAAATCACGGACTGATGCTGACCTTGCTTTGTTGCTGCTGGATTTGTAAGTAATATTTTTAGTCCAACAGGGTGGATCTTTTTAATTGGTAGGTTCATGTTAGTATTAGTTGGCTCATGGTAGTGTTAGCTCATTGTTAGCACTAGCTGCAGCAGGGTTGTTTACAACAGTTGTAAATCTATTTTCAACCAGTAGGGTATCTGGATTTACAACTCTGGGCGTTCTGACCAACCTCTCAGAAACAATGACTCCAGGAGACTCTTCCCCAGTAATCTTAAATGGTTCAAATGAAGGCAATTTGACTACTTTGAATTCTTGAATTCACTGAAGGCTTACCATGACCTGGATGACTGAGAACTTTCACCAGCTCTTTCCCAATACTTCGAACACCTGACAACAATACAGCATACTAACCAGTTTGATGCCATGAGGAAAAACACCACTATACATTTTTAACTTGCCCCTGCCAGTTTGTATCTGCTTACCTCACATAGACATAGTCTTATATAATGCATCTGCAGCCCTCATCTCTTGCTCACCAGTAAACACCTTCTTATTTTGATACTACACGTGGGAGTTCCCCGGATCCCTGATCTTCCAAATTCTTCCTCACTTTACAAAAATTAGTGCAAAATGACATGGTGCCAAATCATTTTCCAGGAGGGGTCTTGTTCACCCCTGGCTACCCCTTGGGGGCGCCACTGCCTAATAAACTCTCCTCTGCTTAACACTATCTGTCTCTGTTTAACTTCATGAGACTGATGGACAGAAGGTTAGGCTTAATTAGTAGGTGTCATGTTTCAAACTGATGTCAGAACGTTAGAAAAACATTTAATTGCCCCAAACAGGCCCGACATTAGGGATTTTTATGGTCGCCAATAATAATTCTAGAGTGACAGATTATTAATACTCTAAGTTTTCACTCCTCCAAACAGCTCAGCGCTGCCACCTCCTGATATTAATCAGAGCAGTTTCCCTGATATGTGCACTTCAGATATTTTAGGCATAATGATCAGAAAACGTCCAGTTTAAAGTTTTGTCCTTACTTCCTTCCTACTGATATTAAAGATTTATTCTGAATGTATTCATTCAAAAGTTACACTTTTAGCATGGAACGCTTAATTGAGTGTATGTGTCCTGAACTCAGGCCATAACATGCAATGTAATTTACAGTTTACACTACATGCTTTTATTTTAAAGGGTCACACCACCGTGCTCTCAGTGAGCTATAACCCTGAACTAACAAATGTTCCCTAACTTAGTGAGTAATCTGACAAAAAAATTTAAATATAAAATTTTTTGACTTTTCTCTCAGATTAAAATCAGATTGACTTTAAATGTAAACTGAAATGGTTTGTGGGACCATGAGAACGGTTTTATTCTGAAAAACTTGCAAAGAAAAGATAAGTTCTCCCACATAGTTTCAATACCCTAGACTCAATCAGACTAATCAGTCAGCTGATGCATCCAGAACACCTGCAGAGGGTTCCTGAGCCTTTAGAGGGTCTCTCAGTCTGAACTGGATAACTGAAAAAAAGTATATATATATATATATGTATATGTATGTGTATATATAACGTGCATACATATGCATGCACATGTACATATTTATATGTATATACATAATTATATGTACATGCATAATATGCATGTGTATATGCATACACATATAAATATACATATAACATAAGCCACATAATGACTTAATGAAACAGTGTCTGAGGTTTGTAGCGGTCTATATGTGATTAATGATCCAAAGAGCTAAAATCTGCTCCGAGATGTGACACCTGTCAGTGTCCTCATTTAGGTGACCAATACCATTCAACCTTCAGTTCAGACTCGGTTTCTTTTAGCAGCTGTTTCCACTCAGCAATCAGCTCCAGCTGCTCTGAGGATCAGATAAAACCAGCTTCTGCAGCTCAGCGCCATTGTGAGAAGGTTCTGGGTTTTGTGTTGGTGCAGTCTGTCAGCATTAACAGCAGAATGAGGTAGCGCTGGTCAATGGTTCTCCTGTGTGATGGCTCTTCTGTTGGAGTGGTGAAGCTTCTCAGCATGGCAAATGTTTGCAGGTTAGAAGTCTTTAACCTGGGATGTTCTTGCAGGATGTTGTGGATTTCTTTCCTGCTGATTGGAAGCATCTCCTGTGCTCAACTAGGAGGTTAGTTGACTGTAAACCAAAGAACCAGACTTGGTATGCTGGCTGACTTTACTCTTTGTTCACTGGAGGTGGACAGCCCATGTGGATGTATTCAGCTTCACCCTCTGGACAAGCTCAAGGCCCACCAGACAAAGAGAAACCAGTGAGACAGGCTTGGCTAGTAGCTATGTGGGTTATAGCAGCTATCCACAGCAATCCAGTGGTTCTACGAGCTACGACCGCACCAACACTGCTGGAAGTGGTTCTCCTTATCTAGTCCAACAGGGTGTTGCTCAGGTTGGTCAGCATGGAGCTCCAGGCAGCAGCAGTGCTCTCCAGCAGACAGAGGAGAGCTGGAGCTCTTCATCTGATACCAGCGGTGAGGATGAACCAGTCTTCACTCCTGTAGAAGATGAGGATCAGGTGTACGCTTTCAAGTCTCGGTCCCTCCACAACCGTAAGCGCCTGCTGTACGAACAGTTCCGTTACACCCCAACACAGCTTTACCAAAATGAGCAAGTGCATCACAAGGATCAAGTCAAAGGCTACTTAACTTGATTCTACGTTTAAATATACAAATGGCCACTTGCTGTGATTTAAAACGTGATTTGTCCTCCATCTTGGCTTGACTACTGGGCTGCAACAGAACTTAGCCCCTGTGTGCCTGACTATCAATTAGCTGCTAAAGATTTAGAGCAGAACATGAAGTTGGCATTTTCTTCCCATGCATGGGTTTTGAGTTATTTACACTACTTCCTGCACAAAAACAGAATTGGGAGGGGAGACTTTATGCCACAGAGCATGTAGGGTCATGCTGAAAGTAATGGAGAGGTCATGTGTTCTAGCCTGAAACTGGGTGGCCCTCAATCACTAAGACATGGAGGATTCTGTCCATTAGATGGCATAAGGCTGACGTTTAGAATATGATCAATTTTACATTTCTGTTAAGTCTAGCTCTAGACTCGTATTAAAGCCTCCTAAGTTTATGGTTCTCTACAGCCTGCTAGAATTTCTCTGAATCTGTACAAGGGAAAGTCATGACTGTTTAGGCAGGCACTACTTTGGCGTTTGAATTTAATCACATTGCTGTTCTGGTGTTTTGACATTGCCTGCTCTTTTACACTTTACAAATGGGCTCATTCACTTTGTGTGTAATCAGAGAGGGTGTAGCATGTTCCCTCTTTGTACCCAACGTAATCCAAATGCATGTTTTGGATTTTGTCATGCACATGGACGCAAGGGCGTCAGTTTGTTTTTAGAATTGCTGGGGACAATCAGTGTGTTTACATGCAGCCAGTAACCCTTTTAAAACCCGAATATTCACAATAACCCGGTTCCGCAGGTCCGTGTAAACACCGCCAAAAACACGGATAGGCTCATAACCGGGTTTTTAAAAACCCGGTTACTACACCTGGGGTAACCCTTTTCTAACCCGAATGTTTGGTCGTGTAAACGCATATCAGGATTTCCCCATCAAAGCGTGTGTTCTGCGCATGCTCTGTTCGCAAGGAATCTTGGTCTTTTGAGTAGCGAGACGTCTTGTATGCGCCAGAACACCGGAGGTAAACAACAAGTTGGGAGCAAAATGGCGAGTCGCGGCACAGCACCACACTTTGAGTGACGAGGAAACTAAAGCGCAAACAAACGCGGTCACTATCTCTTCCGAACCAAGACATGTTGTTTTCACGGATACCGGAACAAGAAGAACCGGAAATGACGCATATTGCGTCTGGACGTAGACCACACGTCCTGACACTACCCCAACGTCCTCATTTAAATCGGGTTATGCAAGTTAGAAGTAACTCTTTCTATTTATGCTTGTAAACGGGTTATTCTGATCAACTCAAAAACCCGAATCCCGACCTTAACCCGATCATAACTCGGATATTGGCTGCATGTAAACGTACTGAATAACCATACACTTGAGTGGGGTTTAAAAATTGCTGGGGACAATCATTAAATAGGCTAGCATATTTAAGTATTCATCAGTTTTTAATGTTTCACTCCAATATGCACAGTGTATTGACAGTTATTAAAAATCCTATTTTTCCAACGGCACTGAAACCCCCCATTAACCTGTAAGCAAGGTGGAATCTTTACATCCGTATAGCTAGCCTAGGAAAAAAGATCTTTTATTATTATTGTATTATATTATATATATCCTTGTTATATTATTTGTGACTGTCAAATTAGATTTTCAGAGAAAAATACTCATCTTTATATCAGGCTCCTCTCTCTAGTCAATTCCACGCTCCGACAACCTAGCTGTCCGTGAACTACCGGATTCATTGATTTTAATACACTTTTCATTTTGTTTCATGGCATTTGTTTACCATCTTTTCCGGGAAAGACAACTCTCTGTGCATGCTCAGTCTATTTATTCGGATTGAATGCTTGGTGCATACAATAGTGTCCATGTAAACAGACATTTGGGATTTCCGA